GGGATTCGAACCCGTGCCTCCCTGAAGGGTGCCTCTACCAACTGAGCTAAGAGGCCACTCTTGAGAGTAGGGGAGATTTTGGAAGGTTCTTCTGAGGAAGAAACTACGGTGATGTATTCGAGAATTAAAATTAGGGAAGAATTGGGAAAGATAACTTCATAACCCTTACATATTTTTTCGGAACAAAAACTTCCAAAAGGAAGCGGGGAAACCACAAGTCATCAGAAGAAGAACCGCCGAGAAAAAAAGCCTGGTTCAGTTCATTTGTCACGGGATAAGGCCTGAAAGGTGGCAGAGAGACCGGTGTAGCTAACGAATTCTTGTGGAGGCTTTATGAATGGCTTGCTCCTTCGCCAAAGGGTGCATAAATGAGTTAGGAAAAAAAACTTGTTCATCTTGACAAGCGAGAATATGAAAAGACATCTACATGGCCGCACCATTTTGATTTTAAGCCAAAATATCTCGCGTTAAAATATCTTAATAATTACCAGTTTGAGTTATCTACACACTCCTCCGGCTGCATTTCTAGACTGAGTTCATTTCACTAGTCATCTTGTTTATTACTTTATATGCATCCCTGCCCTGTACTATGCTATGCTAAATTTTCGTTGAATTGATAGGTACCTGTCTGAAATGCAATTGCACCACCTACCTCCAGGAATCTTTGAGAAGAACACGCAGCTAGTCAAATTGTGAGTAAAACTTTTTTTTCTGTGTAATGCGCGGGTGAAGATAATTCAGGATCGTAAGCTTAATAACATCAACAAAATTTGTTAATCTTTTATTCATAATATGTAGCTATTTAAGAACATAAAAAATTCACCTACAGTTAATACCACTGGTCAACTTTCGCACCTGCTGGCTGAAAACTCCGATCTGAGAACAGCTGCACAACAGTACTAAAGGCTTCCAACTGCTTTTTGTTGTTGTCTTTGTCTTTATCAGGTTTTCTAAGATTATTCGTTTCGTTTCGAAAATCAAGAATTTATATCAAACATTATGAAAAATCATGCATCGACTGTTGCATTCTGGATCTTTGTCCAGGACTGACCGTTTATGAGATTTCATACTGTATAAAAGGCATCGCGGAGTGCCTTCCTTAAATAAAAAAATCATTCAAATTTCCGCCAGTAACAACTTTCCATATATATGTCAAATGCAAATATATTTTAAGGTTGTAAGATGAGTATTACGGGTGAACCTAGCACAAACAACTTTTCACTCAATGAGACTGATGCTTTTGCTCACATTTCAAAACATCCGTAACAGTCTTCGACAACAGCCCTGAAAGATTTCATTAACACCCCTAGCTAGATAGATAAAGTTATGGTGGATCTTAAAAATATTGATCAGTTTTATGTGGTAAATAACGCAGACGCCTGAATGACAACGACATGAAAGGATTGAATGGAAGTGCCTTCAAAAACTTGTCAAGGCTAAAGGAACTGTAAGTTAATGTATCAATACTATTGTGAAAGGAATTCCTTATCCCAGAGACAAAATTATGTATGGTAAAAATTTATTAATTCCTTTGTCTGGATCAGGACATATCGAGGTCTACTGAATGATCTTGTGAAAATAAAACAGAGATAGATAAAAAGACAACACTAAAAAAAGTTTGAAAATAGTTATTCAAACTGTAAAGTTGCCAAACGGTCTTAATTCTGATTAAATCTGTACGAGACATTAAAGGCTTTGTCTTCTGACGCAAAGTACATTGCACGTTTTAAAATTTCAGAACTGAGAATAGCCCCTTTTGATTTATAGCACTGCATCGAGTTTTGGAATAGTAGTCGTTTGACTAAGTTTTTATTGTGTTTGATATGGTAGTATGCTGGATCGAATTTTTGCCTATTGCATTGCACCCATTGAGTTGTATTGTATAGTCAGAGATAATATGTGGTTGTTGTGCATCAAATCATGCAGCCACCAAAAAAAGCTGTTTTCATAACGCAGCAGCATTCCTCTTTCCTACCACCCCGTCTATACTTGTTTTTGCATTTATTTTTTTTCTTTTCTTCCTTTCCCGTCAGTGATCATAAAACAAAGCGGTAAATAAAACTAAATAGATTTTACGTACAGATCATGTTTTTTTCAAATTTTAACACAGATGGTTGCAAGACAACAACTTCACTGAATTGCCTCCTGATCTATTCCAAGACCTAGAAAACCTGACAGAGCTGTAAGTTAATTCATACCAAGCTTTCCCCTTTAACTGCATAAATTGTTCCAGCATTAATTAAAATTTCCCTCTCTTTTGTAAAATCACAGCTCGTGATTGCTGGTGCATTTTTACAAAGATTCTGCCAGTATTATACTTTTCTTTCCTTTCACTAATTAAAGCAATTAAAAAGAAAATAATTTTTTCCAATTGAAGATTTTATGATCTTCCCATCCGCACCGATAACATATTTTAAAATTGAAACATTCTTTATTATGTGTTTGTTACAGTATTGAAATTTTCATTGACAACGATCATACATACAATGACGAAATGTATGCATGTCATGAATGTTGCAGTTGTTTTCATGGGATATCTTTCTTTGTTTTGAACCATGTGGGCATTTCCTTAGATAGCAAGCTTAATGATTTCTTTTCTTAATCCACGGGAGTCAGCCATCGGTTATGTTTTGGGAAAGGAGTTCAGTGTGCACGCAAATTTCAAGCTGTCGGCGGCCTGTGATTTCCTTTTGTTATAGATATCGACAAAACTAAATGAATGAAGTAACTCTTGAATATTCTCCGTACTATATGACACATAATCCACGTCTGTGATCATATAGTGCTCTTTGGTTGTTTTGATGACCAGCATCTTTACGTATTTTTACTAACAAATTTCAGATTGCATACTTAATAACAATTAATTTTCTTTTCTCGTCGTTCTTTTCAGCTATCTGTCAAATAACAAGTTGAAGAGTCTACCAGACGGACTTTTTAACAGCCTTTCCAAACTGACACATCTGTAAGTGAAATAGTTATTTAAGCAAGAAAATTATTGGGTAGAACTAAATGATCATTTTTAAAATATTTTTCACAAAGGCACAGCCATCATCGCTGAAAAATCATGAAGTTTTCCAGCTTGCATTTGTCACTCTGATCAGTTGAAACTGAGGATGCTATTTTATGTTAGCAATGTTAGGTACTTGGAGGTGTAAAAGTTTAAAAGCTTCTGTTAAAATAGCAACCATAACAACTCCCAACTCCTCCAACTTTTTTGTTGTACCGGTTTTTTTCTTTTTTTTTGCTTGTTTGTTTGTTTTTATTGCAGTGAGAGGTTTCTCCCCCAAAAAAGTCGGGTATGAATATATTTCCAAGACTTTTTTTTTTTTTGGACCGGTTTTTTTTCTTTTTTGACTTGTTTGCTTTCTTATTGTGGTGAGAAGTTTCCGTCCCAAAAATGTCGGGGATGGATATTTCCTTGATTAGCCTGTTTTTCGATTTTGTATTAATGAAACATATTTTATTTTGTGTTTTCCCTAAAAAATGTAAACAGATTTTTTTATCATAGCGTTCTTAGCCAACATAATATGCAAGGATGTTCTTGAGTTGGGTTTTAAAACATTAACCTTTTTCCTGGGAAAATTTATCAGGGATTTATGGGAAATAAACTAAGGGGAAGCAACTGCGCAAGCAAACGATATTTTCTGAACGTTTTTCGCCAAAAACCTCTGATTATAATTTTTTTATGAGTTCAGTTGGTAGTTCTGTCACAGGCGAAATCTTTGTAACTGTGGTAATAATTGTTTTCAGTGATTTGTCCAACAATGAACTTGGAACTCTGCCGCCGTACATTTTCAGGAACATTACAGCAGTAGAATTTCTGTAAGTAAGATTTATATCGGCACAAAAGATTAAGAATTATTCTTAAAGGATTTTCTTGAAAATAACAACACTTGGTGACTATAAAAACTTCCCAGTTAATGGCAACTTACATTATAATTTACTTCTACAAGGCAAAGGTTTTTTGTTTCTTTGTTATCTGAGTTGCCAATATCTAAGAGTTTATTGTATTGCAAGATTAAACTACCCTGTCATCTAATTTTGTAATTTGTAACAAGAAGTGAACCACAAACGATTTTTCAAATTCAGCTTTAAACAATAGACCTCGCTCGAGGCCCATGGGGATAAACTAAGAGTTTTCGTGCTTAATCTTAGTGCATTATAGATATGTCTAATGTGTTCTTTGAAGATTAACATATAAAAATTGGGAGCTGTTTTACTGGAAAACATTGCCATACCCTGCCTTAACTGCAGAAGTTACCTAAAAAACAGCAGAGTTAAAGATAAAACTGCCCATGATGCTTTCTTCAGAAAAATGGACTACAACAAAATTGAGAAGCTTCACGAAGACCAGTTCCAGGGCTTAGTAGAGCTATTCGATTTGTGAGTACATTTAGAGTTTAAACCTTTTTCCATGATGATCTGGATCGTAAAAGGTATATAGTAATGTTTCTTTTTAAATGTTAACTCCGTTATCGCTCAAATTAAAGTTGTCCTACCCAATCATGTTATCTTACTGTATGTTAATATTTATTTTATTATCCATTTCACATGTTTAAGATATCTCTCGGAGAACAAAATAGACGCTCTGCCTGACAAAATTTTCAAGGGTGTCAAAAGCCTTAAAGCTCTGTGAGTACAGTTAAACTCATACAAACACATTCTAGAATATTTGAAGTGATGGAATGAATATAATAAGCGTTCAAATTCTGAGATTTTAGTTTACAAGTTTAACATGATGTAGAACAGACCTGGTGCAAATTACCGTGCTCAACGAAGCAATGTTGTTTGAATTCATGTTGCACTAAAACTGTGCCTTCTTATATAGCATACTTTTAGTGAGCCAAGGTGGATATCATTGAAACGGAAACAAACATTATGGAGATCTATGTAGTTGTAATGAAACTCTATGTAAATTTATTAGGATGAGGAATATGACAAATGCAAGCCCCCGTTTAGGAGCTAATTGCAAATGATTGCGTTCTTCGTTTCAGCAATATCTTCGGCAATAAGATACAAAACGTTAGCAGCACGACCTTCAGCTATGCCCACGAACTGCGATTTTTGTAAGTTCAACGCAAATGACAGATGTTCATCTGGGCAACTAAACTTAGTTGTATATATTGAAATCAGATAACATGTAGGCGAGTATTCTTTTGAGTATGTGGAAGTGAAAGGAAAGACTCGTGAATAGTAATTTTGGAAGTCAATATAAATATACCGAAGTAATTTTTCCCTGGATGAGTCCGGAAAGAGGCTTTTATACAACGAACGAACACAACTGAATGGGCTGCCACGTCTACAAAATCAGTGGCCATCAAAAATTCCTAAGAAAGCAAGACGAGACTTATCATAGGCTAACTGATTAATTTTATAAAATATTTGAGAAAATATCAAGCTAGGGTCCGTATTTAAGATCCTCAGTTAGGGTTCCTAATTATATATTTTTGACAGTTTGTTTGAACATTAACAATAGCTAGATGAATCTTACGCATGGAAACTCATTTTTTGGAATAAATCAAGTTCTTTTTGTCAGGTCAATTATGATATACACCAACTAAATGTTCAAATTATGATTATTTGACATTACAGGTTCATGCATTACAACTTGATGGCTGAGCTCCCCAAAGGCTTTTTCAGGCATTTGACGCACATCATCAGAGTGTAAGACTCCATAACGATCCTTCCCTTCGATCACCCCTTTAAACAATCATTTAATGACAGTCTATAATATTAGTTAATTAATTATTATTAATAGCTTTCAACGATGCAATAGTTAAGTGTTATTTCTTCTTTAATTCTTCTTTTTTTTTGGAAATCTAGAACATTGGACACCAACCTGATGTGCTGCCATCTCGATCTTTTCAGGCAGGATGCTGATTGCGAATATACCTTCAATGACAACTTCGCAAGCTGCCACTCCATGTTCCGCAACCGTGCCCCGAGGAGAACTCTATGGGTTGTCGGTCTTCTGTCGTTGTTAGGGTCTTTGTTTGTAGTTGGGTGGCAGTATTTCTTCCCTGATAACAATGTGGTCCAGTCTATCATGTTGGTGAATCTGGGTGTATCTGACGGCATCATGGGTATATACCTTATCATCATAGGTATAAAAGACCTGCAATGGTCAGGGGAATACTACCTGCATGACTATGAGTGGCGCACCGGTTGGTTTTGCCATTTCAATGGTGCCATGTCTGTCTTTTCAAGTGAGGTATCAGTGATGATGATTTCTCTGATCGCATGGGACAGACTCAAGAACATCGTGTTTCCTTACACCTTTGCAAGAATTACACCAAGGCAGACCCGCATAATGTGCGTAGTTATCTGGCTGGTGGGAGGCATTATGGCATTCCTTCCCTTGTCCGGAATGCACTATTTCAGTGAGAGGTATTATGGCAATAATGTAGTGTGCCTACCCCTGCAACTTTCCCCGCGATTAGAAGAAGGCTGGGAATACTCCACTTCCATTTTTATCGTTTTGAATTTTTTCCTATTCATCTTCATCATGGTTGCTTATGTTGCCATTTTGTGGAAATCATGGTCGTCGAGCAGACGACTCGGTGGGCATGGAACCATCCGTGAAATACGAGCAAGAGCACAAAGTGCACAGGCCAAAAGAGAAAGAGCACTTGCCAAAAGAGTCTTTTTTATTATTCTGACCGATTTCTTGTGTTGGATGCCAATCATTTCTATCGGCATCCGTTCCCACGTCGAGAAAACATTTGATCCTCCTGGTGATCTGGCAGTGTGGATAGCAGTGTTCGCTCTGCCAATCAACTCAGCTATCAACCCATTGCTGTATACGCTTTCTACTCCACAGGTAACAGTTTTTTTCTTACTTTGGAATAGCACCTACTGTTATGTGAATTTTTGTTAATTTTGAAATTGTAACGATTGACGTACAAAACAAGCGTGAAAAAAGTAAATGGTCGGACAGATTTTTTTTAGCTTCTTCATCGTTGACTTTAACCAGAGTGACTTTGAAAGACGTTACTTGAAAGTCTGAAATAAACTATCCCATATATTTCGAATTTCTAGGTGCAGGCTGTGTTGAAAGCAAAACTGAGGAAGCTGTGGTCCAATGCTCGATCCATTTTCAGCGGAGGACAAGGTCAGGAAGGTACAGTTTTAAGCTCCATTCAAAAATACCATGATAAAATTAATTATATCCCAAACCTTGAAATGAACAAACTATAAGGTTTATCAAATTGAGTTTTAGCGACTCATTTTTCTTTAAGTAGCTTATGTCAATTTTACTCCTAATGCTTTGAAGGGGGAAAGGGTGGAACTAGCTTGAAATCGTAATAACTTCATGTATCTTTTAATTTTTTAGAATAAGAAACTGAGCAAATTATTGAAATCACAAAGGTGCAACTGGCAATATGTAGAGTTGTAGCAGACGTAAAAGAGAAAACTAATCAAGAGAGTGATTCTAAATAGAGATGGGATCAATGTTATAAATAATCAAGTTTCATGAAGGCAACGACGCAACCAGAAATCATGATTTTAGTTCGATTTTTTTCAAAGTTATTATCTCTAAAGCTATGTAGTAGGAACGTTGAGTTAAACGGGTGCCATTTGCAACAAATTGTTTAAAGTAAGATATTAGCCAAAACTCATTTTGTTAACAATTCTCAAAATATGAAGGGTATACTTGTGTCTTAAATTATGAGGTAAAGGTCCAAATCTAAATTATAGAATGTATTTTTTGTGATAAACCTTACAATGGCCAAAAATTTTTTTATTGGTGTTTCTTTTTCATATAAAAGAAGCAGACAATGATCGGGAGGGACAGATTGGAAATGGAGATGAACATGCTAACGACGAAGAGGGTAAAAATATAGTGCTTCTCAGTGTAAATCACATGCAAAGTATCTTCACTACGCCTCTGTAGGGTTCTGTGTGTAATACTTTTCTTTCCCTTCTTTTTTCCATTCTTAATTCCTTTTTTTCATTTCCTTCCCCATAGGAGAACAAATTGAAATGCAGGTAATAGAACACAACGAAATCCCAGAAGTGGAAGCCCCTGAGTTGCCTGCTCAGCAACCAGGTCAGAAAATAAATATAGAATTTTAGATGCTAGCGGCAATGCTGTAATTGACTTTGTAATTCAACTCTCTTGCCAGGTATGTATAGCCTAATCAATAAATCTACCACATATTAGCTCTTTCAAATTAAAATACCTGGAAACCTCAGCATTCATTTTCTGCTCTGATAGTTTCTGAAGCTGCATTTTGAGAAAGGAGAGATTTAGGAAGGGTTTCCCATATGCCACAAATGTGATGATATTCGGTTGTATTACTTTTGGTTGATAAGTTATTTCAGACATTCTGGTGATAAATTGCCTTATGCACTTTTACCACCTCCACTCATAAGATCCCCATTCCTTTACATTAGAAACTTGTTCAGTGTATTATGGAAGGTAGATACCACCATCTCCCATATGACAAGATTGTAGTAAATAAATGAAGCGTATATATTGACAATGATCATTCATTGTTTCCAGTTTTCAGTTATATTGTATGAATAATAACTCTTTGCTCTGTTGACAGCAATTGAACAAGCCTGTGGAAGGGATGCGAGTTCATCTTCCTCAGGTAAAAAAATCTATTTATGAACGAAAAACAAAAAGAAGGCAGAGACAACCGCTTTATTTACAAGAGTAGTACTGCAAAAGTCACAGTTATACCATGTGACTTCAACTACATATTGCACTTTACAACCGGTCATAAGAATCGCCAAAAGGAAGAAAGGCAATGTATCTTAATAATTGTATTTGGTAGATTTTCAAGCGCATAAATTAACTTGCAGATCTAAATGTGAGCTTTGTAACATCAATGAATAATTGAATACATATGGACATCTAATGTAAGTAAAGTAGGTTTGTAGAGAAATTTAGTAGTTTATTTAAATGAATAGTATTCTTCATTGCAGTAACTGTTGATCAGGGCGAGAGCCAGCAAAAAGAAGGTAATAGTTGACATCTTGTGTAAGTAGGAGTGTCTCTACACACTAATGGAAGTTTCTTATGTTGAGAATTGCCTAGTTTTATGAAACCATTAGTTCCATTTGAAATTGACTTGAAAACAGGTCTAAAAAATTACCGGTATTGATCGACGATTTAGGTAGTTACAAGAACCTTTGTAATAATGGACACTCCTCTTCAGTGTAACTTATAGCTTCTGATACAATAGTTGAAATATAGAGCGATTGTTGCAGATTTCAATATGTACAATATTTCACTTTCTTTATCGTCAAGATACATTTAATGGAAACTTGTGAAACATTTCTGATACAAAGCCAGCACCAGCCTGATTTTAATCATTTTTGGTTCATTGCTTTGATAGAATTACATTTTTGTAAAGTTCAGGGGTAGCTACTTGTAAGCTATAGGGACTCACTCATCCTGTAAGGTAACGGAGGCAAAAAAGAAGCTAATGATAGGGTAAATTGGTGGCCTCCAACCAAGGTTTTTAAGAGGTGATAAAAATGCACGGCTGACTGTTTCAAAAATCTTGCATATTCAAGTTGTGCCCTGTCCCTGGTGATCCTCCCAAAATATCAATCACTTTGTCGAATGCAAGGACAAAAATTGAATACAATATATCTTAAATATCTAGGTGCAGATCAAGAAGGAGGAAGTAGGCCTGAACCTAAAAAGCCAACTGAGAAAGGTAAAAACAATGAAATGCTTTTTAGGAACTGAAAATTTGTCCCCCAAGGGTCTCATTTATTTCAGCCTACAGTGTAAGTAGCACCTGGACTAATTTGCTGGCTTAATAGCGGGCAATGGGCTGCGTTATCTAACCTCATAGATTTTAACAATGAATCTGATTTCACACAGCTGGTGAATCTGAGGAGCAGGTGGAGATTGAAGAGATTTCAGTTCCTAGTAACAAAGGTAAAGGAGATAATAGTTTTTGATTAGTTACTGAAGAGATTAAGGCATTTTATGAATAGTAAAACATCTATTTTACCTTGGTAGTCACTGGAAAAATTCTGGTTTAGAAATTGGGGAAACATTAACGATTTTAATTCCTAGGTACAAAGACAAGATTTAATGACTGAATACAAACTTTTTTTTTTATATCAAATGAATCATTTTATAAAGAAGCTAGAAAAGCTGAAGAAGAAGAGAAGGCGCATGAGCCTGGCACGGATGTCGCAGAAGAAGGTATTTTTTTTTTTACAAATCAGAAGAGATAAACTCAAATTGGTCCACACAATGCTTCATAAGGTGACGCATAATTATTCCGCTCTATTACTAGAAGAACACTTGAAGTGCTCAGTCGAAAGGTCGCGATTCACATCGGGAGGTGACGTTATTGAAAAAAAACCATACCACTTGAGAATTATTACACCTTCTCGTAACGAAGAGCCATAACTTTTTATACAATGCTAAAATCCAAAATTTATGAGTTTATGAAGCCGTTTTACGTGTTTTTTTGTTTGTTTTTTTAAAGCGACACACTAATAATTTTCTCAAATACAGAAAACATAGCCGCCACTTACCACAGCTCATTGGATGGAAATAGTGACTGTGATGTTGTGTACCTCAGTTTTCAAAACACTTCAACACAGATATGCAAAAATTCAATGAGCTCTAATAAGTGGCAGCTCTGTTTTCTGTATTTGTGCAAATTATTACTGTATCGCTTTAAAAAAATGATCGCGTTGTATTTCTATCTCTTTTCTTATTCCATCCAGGGGAAGAAGAGGTGTTTGATACCAGGCTTTAGTTCTTTGTTTTCGAACCAAGGTAAATGCTTATTATGTTTGCTTTTATACTACATACCGCCGACTAAAGGGGTGAGGGAAAGCAAATCCCTCTGAAGAACTTGTGTTTTGATTGTTACATGTATCTTTCTAATTTTATAGAATTAGTGTAAGATTTGAGATGAAGGTTGAAAATCTCTGATGAAATACCGTGTTTATGCATGAATAGCTGACTCCTGATCACTTCAACTGTTAGTTTCTTGAACCCGTGAAATATTCTGAGTCAAGAGCGACTTTTGTGATGCCATTCACACAGCGTCGCTCTATCCTAAATTTTTTAACCCCTTGGTAACTCAGTAGGGTCGGTAGATCAAACAAACAACTAATCGATAAGTAACTTTGCATTCACTGATTAGCGTGCGTTTTTCCTTTGCCTCAGACAGAATTCAAGAGCCAAAAACATTGCCGTTAGTATGAAGACCGTGAGGGTTAGAGAACAACTAAAAAAAGTTCAAGGAAGAGGAGAAAAATAATTCTAGTAATCAATACACACTGTCTATGGTATCATCTTAGTCAGAAAAATCTGGTTTTAATTTTTTTTTCGTAGATTTAATGTCAGCATTACATAGTGAACTATGTAATGCTGAATCATTATGTGGTAACAAGCTATAGTTGGAGTAGAACAGATTGCGCTTTATCTGAGTAGGGATGTAGCGGCAGTTTATCTTCCTTTTGTTTTGTCTTCTCCGGTTTTGTTTGCCTATTTGTTTTTCTGTAATTAGACCACTTCCAAAGACTTGCGGTTCAGTGATCCTGTGCCGAAATTACGGCGCGAGAACGCGGCTAAGTGCGAAGTTGCCGAAATTACGACGCGAGGACGAGGCTAATTGCGAAGTCACTCTTATCGGTACAAAGATTGAACTGCCGTGGTAATGGAAATGAGCCAAAATTTCTCGAAATTCAATGGGGAGAATGAAAGATTATTTGTGAGAGAACTTTCTTAGGGTATAGGCCCATGAAAAGTCGAAAAGCTGGCTATGCTTGTAATATGATAAGACACTTTAGTATGCATGCTGATCTTGCCATCATTAATTACAATATAACTGAGTGAATGCCTTGATTTGGAATGCTCACTGATTTTAAAAGTACTGTTTAAGCTCATTTCCACGGAGATTGTTGAGATTATTCAGAGCTAACTCGTAGTTTAGAGAGATTTGATGTTCATGAATAACTTCCTTTTAGAGTTCGTAATATTGGAAAGAGCAAAAAGGTTAAAATGTGATAATAACAATAGAACACTAACGGGTTTTAATAAGAATTATCAGAGATTGTTTTGTGTGACAACTATTTAGACAGCTCATTTCTAAAATTTTGTTTAAACTCGTAAAATCATCTAAAATTTGACAAGAAAAACGTAGACGAATGTACGTGTAGAAGACGTCCACTTACTAGATATTTGATAATACGCTGGTAATCTAAATAGTTTATTTCGTAACATTTTTTACTCATTCGGGAGCATAGAAGTCACAAGGAGTTAAAGTGACGTTAATTTGGGTTGCATTTTATATCAAAGAGCTAGGACTTACAGTTAGGATCTCAGTTACTAGACATTAGGCAATACAGAAAGAATCTGAAGAGTTCAATTGCACAACTCGTCCAGCAAGTATTCAGAGTACTTGTCGAGTTGTTTGATTTCGTTAGTATCTCTAGTTGAAAGAAAGGGTAAAAATGTCACACATACAAAACAGAAACAATTGTTGGATAAGAAGTCACTTATTAGAAATTTAACAGTATGTTGAATGACCTGAGTAGCTCATTTCTAGAATTTTTACAACGTCGTATGAGAGGTAAAGTGACGTCTATTTATCAGCGCAAATTACATAACGAAAAAAATTAGAAAGATGTTGTGGTAAAGAGTAGCAAGACAGATAAAGGACATTAAGTGGTACAACAACAATTTGAGTATTTCACTTCTACAACAAGCTTGCGATTGTTTTGCACGCAGACTGCGTTTAAAATTGTTAGAGGAAAATACTCAGGGTCACAATTCGTTTGTTAGAGATTTTGTAGAACGCAAACGATCTAAGTAGGTCATTTCTTAGAGTTTTTATAACTCGTTTGCGAGCATTATAGTCACTCGTGACTTATGTCATGACTGAAGCCTATTCTCTACATAATTCGTCATTATTATTAAAATTAACCTGAAAATAGAAAAATAAGGAAAAAAAAAGGTCTTAGAATACCACTAACTTAGATATTTGGTAGTGTTTTAAGTCTAATTCTGTAGCTCATCTCAAAATTTTTTTCAACTCAAATCGAGAATTCTAGTTCATTGTAGTATGTGGTATTTTTTGATAACTTTGTTCAAACGTATTCATCAACATGGCTTCTACAGTAAGAATAACTTGAATGTGTAAGTGGCTTTTTGTGGAAAGTCACACAGAGTTACAAACAAGGGTTCCAGATCTACTGTAAAACGAAGACTTCAATAAAACATCTTTAAGACCTTACACATGAGTCCGTTCTCAGTTTACTCTGTAAAGGTTTCTAAGTCTCGCTTCAGCTTCATCCACAATGTGGATTATGTGCCACAAGACCTCTGTCAAGTGAACTGATACTTGCTTTCTTTGTCTCTCGTCTTACACGAGCCTTGATCGTACGCAGTGGGGGGGGGGGGGAGGGGTTGGGGAAGGGTAGGTTAATGGCCTTGAAATGGCCTTGAATTACTTAATGTTGAACTTTTTGTTTTGATGAACTATTCAGTTCGCATTTTTTCCAAACAGGGAGCCGTTTTCTTTTGTCACCGTAATGTATCTTGTTTACGCGACTGTCTTGAGGGGTTTTGGTCACCGCCGATGTGAAATAAGGGGTTCAGTACCAATATATATTTCCGGGAGGCTAGGAAACATTCTTTAGTTACTCTAAAGAACACGAGAGAAATGAATCCATATATACTGAGAATCTCATTTAATTTCCCGCTCCTTCTCTAACTACGATAGTAATCGCGAGAGGGGTACGTTTATGAGGGAGTCTCGCCGTCCCGCCAGAATGGGCAAGCTTTGTGTCACGTGAGTTGTCTGTGCAGGCACTCAACGTGATCAGCGGTCTGAAACTACGCAAGCTAGCTTCAAGATGGTGCGCTCTTGTGGAACGCAAGAAAAGACTCACTTTTATTCAAGGTAAAGGATTCTTTCTTTCTAATTTCTATGAACAAAGAGCTCCATGCTATAAGAGTAGAGAGTAGATGTTGACGGTTTCGAATCGTACATTAGATAAACTCTGTATGTGTTTCACCGAACGTGTGTTTGCAAAGAATAGGACCGCCGAATGGAGTTTTGATACTAAAGGTTTCAGATGTACGCTCGCTAATTTTTTCTGCCTAGTTCAGAGAAATTAAAGCTTGTAGCTTCAGTTCTCGTATCTTATTTTGTTTTCCGCCGCATTGAATTGCGATCAGTCGAAGAGAAGTCGCGTTCAGAACATGTGACAGTTTGGGTTGTCGTTTTAAATTTATCTATCGGTGTAAAGTCGAGTCATGGATATGTGTTCGTTTTATAAGTGTACCGTGGACTAATAGAAAGTGCGAGAGTCTTGTTTAGCTGTTTAACTGATTTTAAGGTCAAATTGTGCCTTTATTTCACCGCTGAAGTTTATTCAAAACCAGATGAAGTGTTACTTGAATAACTAAGATGAGAAATTATTGTGTTGATAACCCTTTAACTCTCAGAACTACTGATTAACATGTAAATTCTCACTATGGTATCCTCACGTTATCCAATAAACGGGTAACGAGAACACTCAAACTTATCAGATAGAAGTTGTTATTGTGATGTAACACCAAATTCCTGTTTCTAATTGACACAGAAATGTGTAGCATTTACATGTAGAGAGGACAGAACAATCAGAACTTGGGAGTTAAAGGGTTAATGGTTCTTTGGACAAGTAATTAAGGAAAATTAGCTTGCAGTGTAACTAGAAAGGCTGTGAAAATTTAATTTTTGGTTTTTTGTGGAAGAAAATACCCAAAATATTACATTTAACACTAAGGTAGAATAATAAAGGGGTGGATTCTAGTCCTGTATCAAGATTTCAAACTAGGGTATGAATTTGATTATAACAAGACAAAAAGGCTATGCTCTTCATGCATTTTTCTTTCCTTTTTCCCAAAAGACATGAAAGATAAACTAAACTAACAGAGCTAAATCAATAATTTAAATTATTTTGTTTTTAAAACAAATTAGCCGCAGTTATCTTGACTGGTTGATTGGTATGTTTTTCAAACAAGCTCAGGATATGAGAGAATTTTGAGCAAGGTGTAATATTGATCTCTGCTTAAAAGCAATCATACAGTAAATTAGGCAGTAAATTAGGGGTAATGAGTCATGCTTGTCAGCTCTCAAAAAGTAATCTGCTTCTAATAATACCTCAAGAAATCACACAAAATACTTGAAGGACTTGACTTTCACTTATATATACACTGTATGTGGCACTTATTACAGTGCAGCTTTAGTTCTCAGTAACACCACTGGCATGCCTGAAAGGTATTTCTAGAGGCATTGTCAATTTTTTTTGTCACAATTGATCTTATTATAGGCTGTTGTGTGGTATTTTTATCTTAAAAGTTCCAATGTTTAGTATTGTTGCAGACTTAAACTCACCAAAACATTCCAAATGGATTTTACATCTAGCTGTGAAGAGGTTAAATGTACCATTTCAGGTGGTTTGAGTGAATTAATTTGGTAGAAATGGAAAGTTCTAAAGCAAGAAAATAGGAGGGCTCTGGTATGACTGATAGAATTGGGTGATAAGATGAGTACCTCATTGTTTACAAGGGTCTGGTTTGTTGAGCAGTGAAGTATGCTTGGCCTGCAACACACTTTTAATCAAAATACTGGTTTATTTTACTTTGAATATATTTTCATAAAAATTTGTTTGAAACCAGATACAGGTGGAACCCTGAAGGTTGTGAGGCACTGCATAGTGCTTCAGTTTTCTACTTAATTTCTTTTGGTTTCTCATGTCT